GCATATGCATTATCAGGCAACCTGATTTTCAAATACTGTATCACAAGGGAAAATGCTATAAATATACAGTAATCATCCGGTTTGGCTCCTAATCCGGTAGCAATCATCCGGTTTGATTTTGATCAAACGGTGATGATCAGATCCACAGACCGTTCGTATATGTGTACATATAAATGTAAGTATATATATGTGTGTGTGTGGATGGATGTGGGTATGCGTGGGTGTGCGTGGGTGTGTGTGTACTGATATGTGATAAAAACAAAGAATATCTGTTTGCAGTAACTATTGAAGAAGTATGTCAATCAACCGCTGATAGTGGACCATGCGGTAATTATGAGGATATGTACTACTATGATTCATTCAGCGGTAGATGTCATCTATTCATTTATGGTGGATGTGGTGGTAATTTGAATAGATTTAAAACACGAGAGGAATGCGAAGCTCGTTGTTTACATGTTGGAGCTAATAGGAGACATTGTAAATTAACTAATTATTACTTTTCGTTTTTTTTTTTTAATTTTCAAAAACAAATCTAAACGACTAATTATTGACAAGGGAAAAATAAGTATTGATTTTTCTCTTGACAGTATTTGTTTTTGAAAATTGAAACTTCTTTTTTACGAATGTTGATATTTAATAAATAGCAAGATATTGTAATTATGTTGAATAATTAGTTGTTTAATCTAGTGATAACTAATTCATTATCATATATTGTCAAAAATATTAATCGAAAAAATCAAACTATAAGATTTGTTTTTGAGAAGTTATTCCATTTAATGGATATGATATGGATTGTATTCTAATCAGAATCAGAATAGAAATTATCATGTCAAAAAATCCAAATAATATTTAAATATCTGCTAGAAAAAAACATCAAGACAATATCTGAATTCTTAATATTTTTTCTGGTAAAATTAAATTTTCAAAATGATAATCTAAGAATTAAAATAATTTTCCAATAAATAATGAATGTTAGTTTCAGTTGGTCGAACTCAATCACTTCCAACAGCGCAACGAAATGAATTAATATCTGTCACATTACCTAAATCCGGCTCATTTGGTATTCCAATAATAAGTAAATGCTTGAAAAATTACAAAAACAAAAATAGTAATAATAATTTCAAAGGTTAAATTTTTTTCCATTAATTTTTGTTCATTATTAATTTAGTTCCTAAATTTGTATAGGTCGATCACGTGATGCGTGCAATGAACGAATGGATATTGGTCGATGTAATGGTGCTTTTCAAAGTTATTACTTTGAACGTGCAACAGGTACCTGTGAACCATTCCGTTATTCCGGATGTGGTGGTAATGCTAATCGTTTTCAAACTAAGGAGCAATGTGAAGAACTATGTGTGCATCGTTCTTCCGGTGCTAAATCTGAAACACTTCCGCCTGATTCGGCATTCAGACATCTCATACCAATATCAGATAGCAAAAG